ACTCACTGAAACAATAGAGGAGAGGAGTGGGGGGGCCTTCTTTTTGCAGCGTCTGCATTATTGGATTTGGATTGTAACATAGTAGCATCAAGTTGGGCAGAGAGGGGCCTGTGAATATCACGTTGGAATCACAATAGACAAGGGCCGATTGTTTTTGCACAGCACTCGCATTAATAATTCAATCATTTGACCCGTGACATGATTTCCCGTAAAACAATCCGATCCTCTGAGGGTTGATAGAGATATTTGAAATCTATGAGTTTGTGCGGTATGTGCGCAAGTGTGTGTGTGTGTGTGTGTGTGTGTGTGTGTGTGTGTGTGTGTGTGTGTGTGTGTGTGTGTGTGTGTGTGTGTGTGTGTGTATCTGTTTCGACCTTCCCTGCATGACACAGAACCGATGCCCTGAGGCTACAACTCCACGATTTAGAGAAGAAGAGAGACAAGATATCAGAAAGTGTGTGCTGCAGCATTTCCTGAACTTCAGATGTGCACTGCCCCAAGGGTGCTCCAATAAGCACACGGCAGAAATGGAAGGACTTACACAAACCATACACTTAAAAAGTAGAGCAGCACTCTGGGAGGATAAGGAGAAAATCACCACGATGTATGCAGAGTACATTAAATATAACAAACAGTGTGTGAGTGAGTGTAAACAAAGCACAGTAATATCATAATACATTGTTTTAGGGACCAGTACTGACAGAGGAAAACAGCTCAGGCCGGCTGCACACATGCAGACATAGATGAATGGAGGGCAGGAATGAACACACATTCGCACAGACACACACAAAGTAACAGCGCGTTCGCTTGCACGCGCAGGAAAAAGCAGGGGTGCCATCTATCAGGCTGCAGACGGGGAGCCTTGGAAGGGGAAATCTGTCCTGTGATGGCTGTAAATGAGGGCTGTGGCGGCGCTGTCACATTGCGTTTGGCTGGGACACAGGAGCTACGAGGGGCGGAGGGCATGGACACTGTGTACTGATATAATGAACTTGGGAGATGGCTGGAGCATAGGCAGCCACTGTGATTCTGTCACAGCTAGTGGTGCTCCATTTCTGCAGGAAAAAAAAAAAAAGGGGGAGAGAAGGGAGGAAGGAGAGAAAGTAAATTGAGTGCAGAGAAGAAAAGAGCGAGGAAGAGGCAAAAGGCAATGATCAAGACAGAAAAACAGAAGGAGAATGAGAGGCAGAGAAAGGCTGGGAATGCATAAGCAGCCCTGCAGAAAAAAAAAAAAACAAGGCACTAATCGTTGTTGGATCGGTGAGGCTATACCAGTATTATAGCAGAAGAATATTTACTCTAATTAGAGGCGGCTAATGTGTCTCCAGGTATAAAGGCTGTCAGCACTTTCCTGAGAATAATTAGAAGCACAGAGCATGCATTGTCCAGGAGAGCGCTGCACAGCTCCCTTTGAACATCATTAACAGTTCACTGACAACAAAAGCCGAGTTAATAGAATGTAATGTGGGCTCCTCACCCATCCGTTTGTTCAAATGGTCATTAGGGTAATGCAGAATAATTCCTTCCTTCTGTGCTTCAACCCAAAAAAACTCAGTGACTCCTCCTCCTCCCATGTGCCCGTCTACATTTTTTTTTCACAAGTCCTGCCTCCATTTCCCTCTCTTTCCCCCCTAGACGAAGAAAACCCTCTCTCTCTCTACAGCCTGCGTCCTCCATATCAAGATGATAAACACGATTTCATGGTGCGTTACAATCATCAGTCTTCATAAAACAAACGGAATCCTCTATAAAAGAATTAATTCTGCGTCCGAGAGACAGAGCCAAATGTATAGATTTACAATTCCACACTTGGGTTCCCCACCGTGTTTTAATGCATCATAAACACTTGGTGTTTTTTGGTCTCTGTTCCAATAAAAACAGAGAGCGCGGGGGTGTAATATCTGGAGCTGGGGGAAATTAAAGCTGAAGTTCCTCTCCTCCTCAGTGCACTCCCAGCTCTCTCTCTCTCTCACACACACACACAGACACACACACACACACACAACCACACACACGCACACACGGTTAATCAGCAGCCCAGAGAGAAATCTAAGACCACATCTACACCCAGTGGAGGGAACCTGATACAACCACATCTTCCCCCCTCCTCCCCACATTCCCCTTTTTCTCTTAATCATCAACACACACACACATGCTCCTGCTGATAAATTGGACGCAAGGTTCAGTATGATTAACTAAAGTTAATGAAGACTGAAAGTGATCTCCAACACGGTAACCATAGAAAGGAAGTCTTTGCAAAACCATGAAGGCTGCGTTAGAAAACCTGGTGAACGTTCTCGTTCTCCCATTTGTGCCTCTGCAGCTATTTCCAAAAGCCCTTCCAGACTGCGGCGACAAACATAACCCTTCTGACTGGAGGAAAAATAAATCATACTTTCAAGTGAAGACAAATGCCTTATCCGTTGGGAGTAGCCTCAGGCTATAGTCATAATGGCCTCTCTCTCTCTTTATTTCAGCCTCCCTCCCTCGCTCTCTCGTTCTCTATTTCTTCCTTTTTGTCTCAAGGCAGGGAGTTTCCCTGAACTAGTTTTAAAACATCCAGCCAAACCAACCTTACACAGCAAAAAAAAACTAGTTCAGAAACGAGTTGGCTTGTCTTGTTTTAAGACTTATTTCATGGTGTGCTTCAGGAGGATGAGGAGGACCCAGTGGAAAAACTGCTGCCCAGCGGCAATTTTTGAGCATCCTCCACTATCAAAACACAATTACACTCCATGCATGGCACAAGGTCGTTACTCATGTCTGATCTTGTGTCGTAGCTATAAAAGCCGTGGATTTCCTAACGCTGCAGTCAGGCTGTGTGTGTGTGTGTGTTTGGAAGGACTCGGGCTTGGCTCAGCGCGGAGCAGGCCAGCTGCAGAAGTCTGTCTCCTGTCCTCGCTCCCCTCCTCATGCTCTCAGTGATATCAGGTTGCCACTCCTCCTCCTTCAGCCCATTACACAGGCCTCTTTATGCTGCGCTAAAAGCTGCTCATGTTCAAACACTCCTGGGAAAAGCTCCTTAAAACACGTCAGGATGAGAGGCCCTGTCTGGTAAAATATTAATAGGAAGTTAATTGGTTGTTAATGGACTGGTGCTTGGGTAAGAATCGCCCTCCATTAGATAGGCCACGGAAACAACCCATTCAGAGGTGTCTTCTTACCACCTCCAGCATCTAATTGTTTCCCGGTCACTGTAGCCATGAGTTGCAGTAACCTGGTGTAAAAGACATCATTGATGGAGTTTTATGGAAGAAGAAGGTACTGTGTGAGATTGGCATTGTGAGTTTTTGGTTACTCTAGCGACACGTTTTAACAATCTCTTCTTCTCTCTTCTTCTGTGTCATCCTCTAACGTTTAAAGAAAACTTTCATGTCCATACTCCTCCCTCGCGTTAATCTTTCCCATATCTCCACATGAGGAAACGCTTAAAACTTTTTGTTGTTTTGCGGCTTGAGTGTGTTTGTGCTTTCTGCGGTTCTCCTTACCCAACAGGAAAAATCCCTCTTCTGCTAGAGTAGGCATGTAATATTGATGCAGAGCAGACTCGGAGAAACACAAGAAATCAAATGGAATCCAAACTAAGTTCAAATGCCGACAACAACACATACATTTTTGATCATTGCAAACCTACAAGACGCCATTCCTTTTTAGGGAAGCCACAGGGGCATGTGTAGCAGAGAATATATTTAGAAATAAGTGATATTTCAGCATGTCTTTCAATCCCAACCTCGTTCAGCTCCAATTCATTTATGAGAGGGACAAATACTTGTTGAAAGAGGTTGCTCAGGAAACGGTGCTTAAAATGGTGGTGGAGGTTACCCAGACAGACTGCTTTTTACAGTTCAGCCTTTTAAATGCAGATTGTAAAAATAAACCACCTCTGAAAGATATGTCATTTCTTTCTGGGCCTGTCGACATCAGAAAAATATTGTTGAACGGTTGAACTTATTTTGCCTGAAATCTGTGCCCTTCTACAAATAAACTTTAAATTCAAGTTTGATAAAGATTAAAAAATAGTTTTCTCACGATGCAAAGCTTTTACTTCATGACTTTTCAACATTTCCACCTTTTTAAAAAAATCACTTTTATAAACACATTTTTATCACAAGGCCTTCTTATAATCCTTGTTTCATCCATGATGTTTAATTTGTTTTACTGTTAACTTTAGCCAATCTTTGTCTCGGTTGTTTGTCTTTTCTCTGTTCATTGGATAATTGCTGCGTTGTCGTTTTAAGATAAGATAAAAATAAGATTTTATTATTGTGTATTTGACTGTTTTTTTATATTCCTTAAAGCACTTTGTGATGTTGGTGTTGATAAGTGCTTTAGAAATAAACTTTATTATTATTATATTATATAACCCTAAATCAAACTTTTTTCTTTTTTTTAAATATAATGCTCTTTGTTTTCGTTTCCCTTTAAATGCTTTGACTTCGTTCATCTCGTGACTGTGACAATTAAACGGCAACCTTTTTTTCAAACACTGACTAAATCCATGTCCAATTACATTACGGAGCAAATGTCAATGGATCCAGCAGATGCTGTCCTACCAACACCACAACACTGTTGCTGAGTTTCAGATTACTGATGCAGACCCGAAAGCCGCCACTAGGTGGTAGTAAAGCACAGGTAGCGATGTGTAATGTCAGATGAGCAGACATGTTGGAAATAAGAGGAAATAAATCAGCCAGGCCTCCTGCTTTGACTGTGTGATATGTTCTGCTTTCCTGCTGAGATCTATTACCTGGCTGGGTGGAGACTGAGATTATCCTCAGGGTGGGTAATGCAGCGGCAGAAAAGCCTTGTCCGTCTGCTGTTTTCTAAAGCATGTCTGTCCACTTGACTGCATTGCAGACTGAAATGAATGGAAAAAGAACAAGAACATGACTGTGTTTTCATTAGCATGCACTTAAACGCGATACCAAACTATTTATATGTGTGCTGTGACGCAGCACTGTGATTGCCCTTTCACTCGGCCCACATTACCCTCACACAGATACACACTCATGCGTCACTTTAATTACACGTTAATGCTGACAACATTGACACAAATTGGCAAAAAGTTGGCCGGGCCTTCAGCATCAAGCAAAGTTGTCAGAAAGCCACAATATAACACGTGATGATACACAACAGCACACTTTCAAAGAAGACTTTAAGAAACAGTAGAAAAGTTACACGGTATGAAATGTCAGCTCAGGAAAATTACTCTTGAAGAAGATTTAACACTCAGAAACAAGCAAAGTAAAAAAAAAAAATCATCCCCATGTTGTTTTTTTCTCTTCTTTTGTCCAAATATTTTCTACAGTGTCTGTGCCCTCTTGTCATCACACTATTAATAAATATACAATCTCATTTTGCATCTGAAGCCACTCGCATTTTTAAAAGTGTATTTTTTTTTTGTTGACGGTTCAAACTATAAGCCAAGTGTTATTTTTAATTGGACGATAACAGCGTTCAAAAATCAGTTTAAGTCGCCTGCAGGCGAGACAATGTCTTAGCATGCATTCCATAACGGTATATTAACTGTCAATCAACACATGCAGATGAGCTATGATGTGATCGTGTGATCTCTGAAAAACCTGTTTCCCTCACTAAGTTCTCCCTGTGAAATGAAGAGGTCTACATGTCAACTGGTTGACAGTCAATGGCTCATGTGGAGGAATGCATGCGCTTAAGTGTTTTTAATCAGAAGCATTGATGTGTGTGATACAGATTACAGGTATTACGAAGAACAGATAAGATGCAATAAGAATACAACGGACTGGAAGAATGAGCTGTATGCCCTGTGTAGAATTTCCCCTCCAAGAGCCCGACATTACCCTGTAGGTCAGAACGAGTTGAATAAATTCAGCTCGTAAAAAGCATAAAGCCTTTCCAGCCATTTTAGCTTAACAGGAAATGGCCAAAGGATTGGGCAACAGAGCTCAAGTGACAATAAAAGGACAATCACCCAAACTCCTCTCTAGGCCGTATTGTGGAAAAGGATGGGCCTGACCATGCCCGAGAGGATCTTGGGCACGTGAACGCTCACAATCTCTGAGATCATCTCGGGGAAGTTGACGCGTGTCTGCAGGGACTGGGCTTGGATGAACAGATCATAGGTGAACTGGTGTAACTTCCTCACAATCTGAGGATAAAAAGAGAGAGAGAGAGAGAGAGAGAGAGAGAGCAGAGGTCATACAGAGGTCACAGGTAAACAAAGACGATACACACGTAAATGTGTATCGCATTGAAAGAAACGAGAACAAAGCCTGCAGATGAAAGCAAAAAATAACAAATGACAGTGAGGCCTGTCTCTTGACACAAGCTTTAAGGGGTGATTTAAAATGATGACATTCATTGTGGCGCTCTAAGCTCCCCAGACAGGATAAAGCTGAAGGGGTCTGAACGGCAATGTCTTGATCAAGTCGGGGTTTTCTGCCTTACGGGCCTTGCAAAGCAATCCCATGCTGCCCTCTAACTCATAAAGTATTAGAAGATCCGAGGTGTGAGGGGGACTCAGACAAAGCTGGGCCTTTAGGGTTAGATCCATGATGCAAGACTGGAGGGGGAATCTGCTGCAGTGCTAATGTCCCAAACACAGTCAGGATTCTTTTTTTCTTGGACATCTAATTGATTTTTAATCAATACCAATTCAAGTTCTACTTGTTTTAAGGAGCAAATGCAGCTGAACTACTCCCTCTAGTGGTCACATTAATGCAGAGAATCTTCAGTCATATAACACAGATAAATGTTTACCTATTGTCCTTATCTTTACAAAAACAAGTGGAGTCAGTTAAGTCTTACAGATAACAGTATCTGATGCCTTTGAAAACCTTGATGAAAAAACTCCTGACTAAAAGGTTCACACAGTACAGACAGGCATGTGTGTACGCTGTTCAGATTAAAAGGATGCTCTCAAAAGGAACTTTATTTCAGGTTTTGACGATTTAATTAATCTCAACTAAAAGCAAGAGGCTGATTAAATAGGATTGAGACCATAGATGATTTATACTCTGATTGTAAGCCTTTCATTTGTCATCAATCTGTACATGTAGTTGTGTTTTTATTCTACAGTTTCCAAATATCATTATTTTTGTTTTGATCAAGTTTAATGATCATTTGTTTCTAGCAAAGCAGATTTTTAATTTAGTCGATTCATAAGTTATCACCTCCAATAATTCTTGTAAGTTTTCCCCAGAACAAAATGTTTTTGTGTCATCAGCAAACAATACCAACTTCAATACCTTTGACCTTTGATATGTTTCATATGTCATTTCTATACGGAATAAACAATTTTGGGCCAACACTTAAAACGTTCTGCTTGAAAACAAAGTTTAAGTTTTCAAAGACAGTTGTTTAAATTATTTAAAGACAATAATGAAACACTGAAACCTATCTGACCACATCTTAAATATTAACTTAAACTTAAGTATTTCTTTAATAGTTTTCTACACATAAAGTTTAATGGTATTAGAGTTAAACACCTCATCACAACTAAGAACACAATCTTTCATGCGAGGGGTTTTTGGACCTAACCGTTTTGGGGACATTTTGAAGAAGAACTTTCCACTAGGGAGTTCTCTGAGAACTACATATTATGGGAACTTTTTTTCTGCCTGCATTCGCACCGCCATGGTTCCTACTCTGAAGCAGGAGCTAAACAGGTTCCTCTTAACGGGGTTCTTGAAACTCAAATAATTCATCGTTCCTGTGGTGCAGGATCAATAAAAAAGAAGGAGGGTTTCTAACAGTTCTTCGAGCTATGAAGAAGTTCCTGCTGTCCGATAAACGCCTATTTAAGATCACTGGGTAACACCAACCCTGTTTTATGTAAAACTTTTTACGTTCAACTCAATGTGTTACCATGGCTACAAAACAGTAACGGCCTTTGTGCTGCAAGGCTTGACTACACAGCACCAGTGGTTTGGAAACGATGGGGTTAACTGGCTGCAGAGATGGTCAACCATCCATAACTAACTGATGTTAGCCAATAAAATAAACACAAGTGAAACTTATTTACATGCTGGATCAAAGTTTTTTTCTCTGCTAGCTTTTATTTTCCCATGATTATTCTTAGGGGGGGTGAATGGGTTCTAGATCTCTACAGAGAAAAGTCAAACAAAATGAAGGAGGGATTGTTACATTCATGTGTGTGGAAGCTGCAAGGAAAAAAAACATGAGACACTTTTAATGCATGTCTGATGTTGCTCAGTAGTATTTACTGAAACACTCCTTCTGCTGTGTTTCTTGTCCATACAGTAAGTTAGACTGGACATGCAGTCTGCAGATAATGATGCCGACTGACACTGGATATTGGGGGCTTTCTTTGCATCACTGACAATATGTGTCAACTCCCTATGAGGCTTTACAATCATCTGTCATGATGCAGGAGACCACTAGAGGGTGACTCTTACATTTATTTTCTCTCTCACGTACAGAAGAGATCAAACTGGATACAAACGACCCTTTAGTGTGTGCTTAACCTTAGCCGATGTGCGGGGGGGGGGGGGTTAAATCCTGGTTATCATTTATGAACAAAGTCTGTCTGTGACCTTACTGAAGGAGACTGATGCTTGGATTCTAAATGTCAAAACTTAAAGCCTTAATTGAAGGAGTTAATTAAGCAAATCTTGATTACGCCTACTTTCTGAGTAGGTTGAGACTCTTGCAAGGCAAACATAATGTTTGGTTTCTTGGGAAAGCAAACTGTGATCTCTATTATTTGCCGCTCCAGTAGCTTCTGTGACACTTACACATTTCAGTAATAAATTGCATGTTTTTATACGGGAGGCAGAACGGTGTCTATTACCGACTGGAGGTAATCCAGCAGCTGTGTGAGCTGAAACAGTCTCTGTGTACGGGTGGTCTCTCCTCGGTGACTGGCCAAGCGGTCCAGCTCCTTGATGTAGGAGGTCCGCAGTTCATCAAAACAACGCTGGCTCTTCAGGCCCTCCATTGGCACTGTGACCACAAAGCCAGAACACAACAATAATTTTCACACACTTTATCCATCCTGTTCAATTCTCGGAGGCACGGCCGCCCTCTATTGTAGTCATATTTTACTTTCTGAGTTTGACATTCAGCCTATTATTTCAGACATGATCCCAGCTGACTCACTGATGCTGAAGAGGACCAGGGCCTTCATGCAGAGGAACTCTTCCTGGGTGACCTTCAGCATGCAGAACCTCTGGGAGAGCAGCTTCATCCGCACACAGTGTTCATACATACTGGACACCTGCATCCGCTGGCTGTGAGGGAAAGAGAGACAGCGTTAGGAAGAAAAGAAGGAGCACAAGGTGGGAAGGAGGGAGAGGCTGGAAGCCAAGAGGAGGTCAGGACAAGAGATTCACAGGAAGACGGAAGACAATTAATGGATGCAGAAACGAGAGTGAAGGAACGAGGAAAAAGCAGTTGAGGTGAGAAAATATGAGTAAGATGGATAATGGAAAAAAGAGATTGACAGAGAGGCAAAGAAAAATGAGGGTCAGTAACAAGGGCAGGTGTCTCTATTACCATGCAGGTCAGAGCCAGCCCAGTAGAGTGACAGAGGTCTAATGCAGAACGAATGAGAGTTTTGCTAATGTTGCACAAAACGCAGAGTGAGAGCCTCTCTGAGAGCCTGTGGCTGGCTTTGGCATTCCGAGTAACACCCCGCCTTCAACACCGAAAACAATTTACTGATAAGAGGCTGTGGAATTGCTATTTATGTTCATCGTGTACCGTGATTTACTTTTCAAAGTCTGCGTTTAAGTTCTTCAAAGTACAAAGTGAAGGCAAAAAGACCAGAGCTGAACTGTCACTAAAAGTTTGACAGAGGCTGGACAAGGTTGTGCTGCCAATCCAAACTTGTAAGAGCAAGAGAAAACAAAACTGAAGAACCCAATGCTGATGCAGATTTGATAAAGGTTTCCTGAAGATGAATCAGAATAAATCATCTGAGTTGATCCCTCTGCGGCCATGCTTATAGAAGATGCAAAGGAAACATTAAGCACAGAACAGACTTGTCTGCTGTCTCGCCTCAAAAAGCAGACGACAGTCACTGTGTGATTCTGAAATCTTCTCTGTAGCTCATGTTCCCCCGTGTCCTTTCTTTCTAATCACGCTGACAGGTAAAATCTCACGATAGTTCAACAAAACCATATGTCAAAATGATTACTACAGATGTTAAGGCCCCCCCAAAAAAACACTTTCCTTAGTCTGATGAAGAGACTGTGCCAGACACCACAAACTTCTTTAAACTTTATGTGACCCATACTCTTATGTTAGAACTCTACAGAAGTATGCCTTTACGAAGAAGAGCTGCTGCGACAGCTACTTTGATAACGGATGTGACTCAGCTGATAGAGTTAGTCATCTCTCAAGCGGAAAGTCGAGTGTTTAATCCCCAGCTCCTGCAGCCACATGTCCGATGTGACCTTGGACAAGACACTTATCCCCAAGTTGTGTAAAAGCACTTTGAGTAGTCAGAAGACTAGAAAAGAGATTTATAAGATCAAGTCCATTTACCATTCACCATAATAAATTAATCATTTTAGGCATCTTTTAAACAGAAGTGTCAAACATTGGCTGTCTCAATCTTATCAAATGAGCGACGTGTTGCTTTCCTTTGTCATTTTGACAGTTAATGAGGACAGGACGTTCGAAAAAGTATGCAATTTGAAGACTTTGAAGACCTATTAGTTCTTAGTAATAGTAATGAGCTATTCACGCTTTAAAAAAAATAAAAATAAAGATTTATTTTTGGGCATTCAGTGCCTGTATTGTAGAGATAGGACAGTGGATAGAGTCTGAAATCAGGGAGAGAGAGAGAGTGGGGAATGACATGCAGGAAAGGAGCCAAAGGTCAGATTTGAACCCGGGCCGCCTGATTGGAGGACAACAGCCTCCATGCATGGAGCGCACGCTCTTACAACTGCGCCAACAGCGCCCCACTATTCCCGCTTCTTTTATAGATGAAAGATTGATATCAATCAGTGTTTAAAATAATCAGAAGATTAATCAGTAAAGAGAAATGGGATTATTTTTAGACACTTACTCATTGAAGACCAGGTCTGGAGCGAAGTACAGCATGGAGCTGTTGGTCAGTGTGTAGGACCTCCAGCCGAGAGCGAACACCATCACCCCCATCCATGACAACTGAATCAGGGACATCTGGTCATCCATGTGAAGGTCGCGGAATCCTAGAGACATGACAACATCAAATGTTGAGTAAATAAATGTGAGTTATTACTGATAACAACATGACTATCACAGCATGGAAACACTGCTGGCCATTATCAGCCTGTACACTGGCTTTAATGTGAACATACCCCCCTCTAGTGACTAATATTGGAACAGACTGGTTTCACTGGCATCGTATTTGCTGCTCTAATGGGAAGTGTTGCTGGCATACAATTCTTGCAAGTGCTTTTTATCTTGTGGGCATGAACTTGTGCCCAATGCTAGCAGGTAATATCAACTGTTCTTACTAGTTTTATAGCTCATCTGAATCACTGTGAGCTTTGGATTTGGTGATTTGCCTTTTACGGTGTCATTCACTGCCTTGCTCAACATAAGTTCCTTTCTACAGTATTTGTCTGGACAGGAGGTGCAAGCGGTAGTTGAAACATTGCACCTGAAAACCTGAAACAGCAGTCATATAAATTAGATGGACAAAGCCTTGGCAGAATCCCTGGCATGTAGGTTGGATTAGTTTGCAGTGTTTATGACCTTGGCCCTGACTAGTTTACCTGGTATTTCCTTGGCCCAGCGCACCACGGTAACCAGCTGTCTTTCCCCCAGCTCGTTGAGGCTGGTGAGCAAGGACGCAGCGCTGTCTGGCAGGGCATGGTCATGTCCTGCATTCACCACAGCCGGCTCTATGGCCTGCAAGACACTGAGCAGGGAGAGGCAGGAGCGCAAAGTAGGAGGGATGCCTAGAGTGAAAGCCTGGGATGCTGTGCAGGATAAACAGACAAGAATGGCAAGAGAAAGCATAAAATGAAAATGATATCACAATTTTCTTTGGCAAACTTTGTACTTGAGCGTAAGTGACAGTAATCCTCACATTGAGCCCTGGCAGCTACACTCCCAGGCTCCAACATGACGTCTTGTCTTCCGCCCCGTTCTCGTTCTCCAGGCCCCCAAGAAGTCTGAGCCTGTTCCTCCTCTCCATTTCTGCTCTGTCCGGCTCCCTTTAGCCTGCGACCTAGAATCCGCCGCAGACAATACAGACAAGTACGAGACAGGCAATAGGGTAACAGGAAGATAAGAAGGCTCCATTTCAAGTTGTTATGTCTGATCATTATACAAGTGACAGCTGGAACAAAGTAGGGAAAAGCGAAGGTGAAAATGTGTAAATGGGGCTCCTCACAAGTGCTCTTTTGGCCTTTACTAAAATGCATTTGTCACACTGTATTTAAGCTGGAACATCTAAATTGTTGGTTCTGATCCAACGAATGTGCAGACTACCTGACCCCAGTTTCCAAAAAACACTCCACACATTCTTTCCTTCACCTCTCATCTTCAGTTCCTCACCTTTGAGGCTCATCCCCGACATGAAGCATCTCTTCAAGCGGCACGAGGCGCAGTTCTTCCGACGCAGTTTGTCAATGGTGCAGTCGTTCCGGCTGGCACACAGGTGGTTCTGCTTACCTGGTGGTATACAATAAAGTCCTGAGGGATGAGGGAGCGACTTCAACAATGCCTAAGCTTCCACTCGTAGCAACGACATGTGGGCGTTTGCTGATAACAAATAACTCGCCCTCATGGAGCCAGGTCAGTGTGCTCTGTTTGCATGAGCCAGAGTGTGGGTGTAAGAAATTAAATAAGCGGATGGGAAACTGTGTGAGTGTGTGTGAGTGTGTGAGTGTGAGTGTGCGTGTGTACCCACCTGCAGCAGCCCTCTTGAAGAACACTTTGCAGCTGCCACAGGTGACTGCTCCATAGTGACAACCTGAGGCATCATCCCCGCACACCTGACACACTCTTCTGTCGGACAGGTACACACCTGGAAACAAATCCTCATGCCTGCACACACACACACACACACACACACACACACACACACACACACACAAAGAGAAGCTGTTTTAAGGATTCACATGAGGGCACAGCTTGTACATTTTTAAAACCTGACAGCTAAAATTAAATTAAGACGGTCAAACAGATATGTAAAAATCCGACGAAGGTCGACAGGACTTTCTTTTGAGTCTGTGTTTGCACATTATTCAGTGAACTAAGTCCTTTAATCCATTCAAACTATAAAAAGAGATTTATCAATACTTTGATTAATATAATTTCAAGTCAAGGTTTAACAGAAATCTGTGATACAGATCTCTGGACTTAGTATTTCAGGATCTCTCCTTAAGCATCACAAAGTGGAAACAGACTGTTTTCTTTTCAGTCCGAGCGCAGAGCAACAGGTGCTGTATCTCTGGTTTTTATAGCGACACTGATATTTGTGGAGTTAGTCACAGCACAAAAAGGACATTGCTGAAAAGTTAGGGATAAGGTGAACTTTGATTTGGTAAAGCTGCACGTAGAAACACAACATGGCCAAGGCCAAGGAGAGCACGTGGTGGGTGCTGCAGGAGCTGAAGAATGATATCACAGTTAGACAACATAAAGTCACTGAAATGAACATCTAAACAATAATAACGTTAACTACGTTTGATTTATGTATGACGTCTTTGAGCAAATCCAGTGATGCTTTGCAGCCCTCTACAAAGATATCTGGATGAAGAGATGAAGTGCAGCGCTTCTATAAAGCATTAGGATGGATATAATAAAGCATCAAATTCATGACACTGTTTCCAGTAACAAAAATGACCTAATCAAACAATGCACAAACAATTGTACAGCTTGGCACATTGAACCACTGAAGCGTGGACACTGTGCAGTCCTCTTTTTATTTCTGTGTGGTAGTTCAGGACTTCCCTCCAGACCTGATGCCAATGAAAGCAAGTGAGAACATATCTTTGCAAAGAGCTTAATTACCTGAACGTGCGATCTGTGCAATTGATCCAGACTGACGGCTCTGTTTTAATGCTGGAAAAGTTGGCATGCCCTTGAGGGATCGCCCTTTGGTAACTTTCCACTTGACCGAACCCGTGTGCCGCTGCTGCTCGGGTGCCACCTTTACCACTCTGCTGCTCAGCCTTGTTGTACCAGACGCAGTGGCATTCATGCCGGGATCCAAAAGAGACCTGTTCACCATTACAGTATTTGCACAGCGAATTATGTCCATCAGATTCGCCTCTCTCTGGCTCGGGTCGTCCGCTATACTCGCACCACATTGTCTCTCTGTAGTGGTCTGGATTGGTGGCGTATGAAGAGTAGGATTTCAAAGGTAAGAGAGCCTCCTCCACCTGAGATGGCGCGGGCATCTCATTCAGCTGGTTTATAAACAAGTTTGATTCCTTGCAAACATATCTGGAGATCATCGAGCCATGCGTCATGGTGTGCGCGCTGTCCATTTCACCTGACCCGAGCAGCTCCATGCAGCTCACCTGCTGGATGCAATCCTCGTCCTCTCTCAGGTTTGTCTCATCCAGCAGCAGCAGCCTGCTGCCTTCTAGGTTCATGCTCGGAGCCGCCCCTAACTCCTGGACTCCTCGGGAACTATTTTTCTCTGCGGGCTCGAAGTCTGCGAAGGCGCTGCTGGAGCACTGATTCGTGTTGTTGAGAGGTGGAGAGACGGTATCCAAACCCAATGACACTGACACAGCCTTACTGAGCTCAGCACTACTCGGGCACGCACAGGGGTCCGCAGTATCAAACAGATCGTTCATAATGAAATAGTTTCCTCTAAAGCAGACAGGCGCGTCGTGTCGGTACGCTGGCTGCACTCAGACAACAAGACTTTCTAAGCAAGAAAACGCCTACCCTGCAAAACTCCGGTCATATGTCGCCGAGTCCGCGGAGAGGAAACTCAGAGCCCTCTCCTACGTAGGCAGTTACACGGAAGGGACGTCCCGTCGATGTGTTATATGGGTGAAGGGCTGTGAACTTTTGATAAAGTAACAGCTCTTTTTTTTAAAAAAACACCGGAGCAACAGGCTGTCTGCCTTCACTTGAAAAGTTTGGTTAGTAACCCAAAAGAAGGACTTTGAACTCTGGACGTGTTGGACGGTTTTCATTCTCAACGTAAACCCTAAATATTAACTTCTCAATGATCTCAAATGAAAACCAACCCACTGGAAGCAGCGCTGCGTCTGTGCCGTTACTTCAGTGCACATCCAGCCGCCAGTCTCGCGAGAATAATCAGCACTTAACAGCGATTTGATAATACGTAGGTTATAGCAATTATGTAAAACAGACACTGAAAATATTCAATTAAAAACCTTAATATTTACAGTCCATGGCACTAAAAGCCACTGCTTCCCAGCAACACTCAATGATAGCAGCCAGGTGCTTTTAGAATATTTTATTTCAGTTTAGTTTGACAAATTCAATATCATGAATTTCATATTCTGTTTTGCTTTCTAGATAGGCCCTAGGTACATTTATACCACTAGTTAGTCCAATATCAATTTCCACATAGGGTCTGTTAGAAACAGTTAGAACAGTAGAAGACAAATTATTACAAATAATATGCAATCTCTTTCTTTAATAGGGATAGCAAATGAAGGCTCTATAAGTCAAACTTTATTTTCTTCTGTGTATTTTAAGACAGCACAACAAAATAATTGTGAATATTTGGGCAGCTAGAGAAACACAATTAAAACAAATCAATTTCATAGAATGAATAACAGAAAAATGTTAATTTCCGGGCAGCCTTGGTTGCTGTGTGCTTACATGGAAACCCTGCTTTTGGCAAAAGTAAAGGCAGAGATATGGTTAAGGTACAGTGGAGGGAGTTGCTATTTTTTTTATTTTCCTTTCATGTGTGTTTATTACAGGTCCTTGCAAAACGTTTCCTGATGAAGTTATTCTAATTTGCATGTGCACTGACGCACACACACACACACACACACACACACACACACACACACACACACACACACACACACACACACACACACACACACACAACACCCTGCAGCAAGTTCTGTGTGTTAATTTAAGTGAACAGATGATGGACCATTTACCTGGAACACTGAAAATAGTCATCAATCAATAATATAAATGGTTTCATCAGTTTGTATTTTTTGAGACTGCAGATGTGTCTGAGGAGCTTTCATAAATGATAGCATCTGTGATATTTCTCCACAACATTGAAGCAAACAATAAATGCATTTTTTTTTTTCAAATTAAATAGATAACGTTTTATTTTAAGGGCAGTTGTCATTTCTGCTTTGACATGTTTCCAGATTAAATGGCACTAAAATTAAAATCTTGGAATTTAAGGCATCAAAGCCCAGTTACAGAATCATCTGCTTTCATATTAAACCTGTTAACACCGAGTTAATATTCTACCTATGTAGTAATCTTCACCTACACTTCTGCAATCTTTCAATGATCTATCCATCTCCTGCTGTCTGTGCCTCCAGAAGATTCTCTCACATGGACTCAAATTCATCAATGCGTTGTTTGGTGTTGCCCTGACGAATCAGACGCAGGGTCTTGTACTTGTCACGGCCCGCCTTCACATTCTCGGCGTGGATCAGGTCATTGAGGGTCCTTTTGGTCTCGTCTATAGCTCCAGCCAGCTCACTGCTCAGGAACTGAAAGAGAACACAAACACACACAGCAAATGAAATCCTCTGTCCTGAGACTCTTTGGGAGACTATTCAGAAGCGATGCCCCCCTGTGCGCCCCTCAATCCCAATCTGAAGACTCTCTATTGTCCATCATTATTAAGTCCATTTTACTGTTGAGTCCTCTATGCATCATATCTTGTTTTGGTTGCTGGATAGAGACAACATTTATTTCACTTGTAATAAGCCTGGACAGTCTGCATGAAATTTGTGACCGGAATGAAATCGGCAGAATGATAATGTACCTGCAGAAATGTTTAATTAAGTGGAGTGCACTTAGTTCTCGGTGAAACACAGTTTTTTTTTCCGTGGCAATTAGTCTGCCATCTTTATGACAGAGTCAAAACCTCTACTGTAAGAACACATCGCAAACAATGCAGCAAAAGTCTTTCACAGTCCCTAACAACCCTGCAGCAACAAAATGTGCTTTTTCTACCAAGACTGAATGTGCCCAACTAAGATACACGTCATTCAAGCACTTACACCTCATACCTCTTATTAAGCCTTTTTTGTCTACATTCAAATGTTACTAAAATTACCATAAAGCACAGCTAGAGTAGGTGATTGAGAGCTAGAGATTCTCTGGAAACGAGACAACAGTTCAAGGCCCTGTGAGGCTTAGCTCAGGCACACCTACACATTCCCACACTGATGCTATGAGACCATCAGAAGTAACTTATCCCATTCATATACCACCAACGAATCAGTGGGAGCAATACAGGGTTAAGTATATTACTCAAGGACACATCAGACATGTGGCTGCAGGAGCTGGGGATTGAACCGTCGACCTTCCGGTTGAGAGACGACCCCTGACTCTACCAACTGAGACACTGAGCTAAATGCTAATGTCAGCTTACATACAGGGGCGATGCTAACATAATTTCCACATTCACCTCCTAATTTAGCCTGTTTGGATTCTAAAATGTAAAGGTTAGAACGAGAAACAAAGTACAAATCAGTATGATGGGCATTCCATTTCAGTCACAAACCAAATTATTGGGCAAATTACATTTCGACCTGGTGGTGGTGCTTGATGGAATATAAGACACCCAGTGAAGTTAATTTATCCTCTAGATAAACACAGCAATCCACCTTAAAATTCTCAAGAGACTGAACTCAAACCCACAAATGTCTGCAACATGGCTTCAGACAGAAGTCAGTTCGATTGACCCTCTTTAGATGATAGACTTCTGGACTGCTTTTTCTTTAGCAGCCCAATTTTCTTTTTTTGATAATTGTTGAGATATTTCACAAAATACAAGGCTATATATATGAAGTTCAAAGATCACCAAAGTAAACGTGATTAACCCTCTGTGCACCATAATTGTCTATTCAACATTTCACTACAGTCCAGTAAGATATATTTAAACAGCCTGACGAGGTCTGAGGCTCGGCTGAAAAAGTAGTTAAAACCTGAGAGATGCTCATTCAGTCTTGTTGGAGCGCTTCGACCAGGAACCATTACAGTAACTCCAGATTAAGGTAATGACGCACTGGTCTCAGTGTTCAGCTGGGGTTGTGCCACGTCTCTAGAGCACATTATTTACTGAACTTGGAACCTCTAAGTGAGGAAACTGAAGGTATTTTCTGATTCATTTGCACTCTTTAAATTTCCAGGAAAAGCCATGGACTGTTAATCTCTCAGTGAACCTGACCTCTGATCTGAGAGCCAGTAAGAGAACAAACGAATGGTGAAATTCAATCACTGTCACTTAACCTTACCTTCAGGTTATTTTGCAGTCTCTGGTTCTTCGCAGCCTCTGTTATCCTTTTCTCCTCGCTGCGATCTCGGACCGTGCCGGGAGAGGTCAGCTCAGCGCTCGCCTCCGCGCTGCTCTCGTCCGTCTCATCGTGCTCGTGCATATGAGAGTGCGCTGAATCCTGGATGTGGACACCCATGAGTTTAGTCTTCAGCACATCTTTGGTTCGCCTCAAATCAGCTTCTACCACGATCGCCTGTCAAAACACAACTTTCTGTGAAGCAATGCTTTGGGATGTGATAATGCAAGTAGCCTACTTTCCCCCCTAAATGTCATGTGTCAATCTGCAACCTTGTGCTCTGACATAATGAATTGGAGTCCAAAGTCACAAAATAGGCAGGCAAAATAACTAGGAATCAAAACTTATCTGATATGTCTTTGCCATTGAACTTAAACAAATAGGCTACACAACAAAACTCAGACACATGATGATGGCAAAATGAAAGTTGAGATAAACATTCCTAATTGTATCAAAGATTCACAACAATAAACTTAAACATACATGAAAGTTGCATGTCTATATTGTATTGCTTTAGCCAACAATGGTTCAAAGACTGGTTCAAAGAGTGCCTTGCTGCAAGTTCAAATCCAGATACATTCATACAATCATATTTTTAAAGTCTACTTATATATTTATTTGTGTTTGATGCCTTGCTTCTATTTTCCCAGATCTAACACTTAGGGGTGTCAGACGGTGCTCTATGCTCATGTTTGATTCATCCTGTATCTCTCTCATGGTTCTCTCATTAATTCTCACCCTTTTCTGCCATCTCTTTGCCTCGTCGTCCTTTATCTTCCTGGCGTCTTCCAGCAGGGAGATCTTAGAGGTAAGCTCTGCCAGCTCAGTGGCCTATACACACACGCGCACAATGGGAAGAGAGTTAAGAGTGCTCCTGATCTGAGGCCATTGTGCTCTGTCTGTGGGTGCACATGTGTGTAAGCCAGAGTTTGTGTGTGTGATTGTGCATACACAGGTGTTTTTTCTTTTTTTTCAAATGCTGCATCACGGCTCAGGTTAATTACCATCCTGATCAAACTGCTAAAAATGGTAAAGATTTAAATATGCTATCAAGCTGAATTTGTGAATCCCTTAATGACATCAATACCTCCCCAGCCTTTGTGTCTAACGTGGAGGTTGTCTTGATCAATATATGTTAATATATACAATAAGTCCTTTATCATTATTTAACTGGTCTCAGACTGAAGGTGACTTCACAGTTTTTCCACCTTTGAGGTATATCAGCAAAATCTACGTTCTAATTAATTCTATTCAATTGAAATGAAACATGTGTCATTCATAAGTACCAGGCTCTCCTGGCTCCTGATTTGGGACTCAGATTGATGTAGCAGGGCTGCTTTAGCTTCCATTGCACCTCTGCGTTCCTTGTCCAGACGCTCAGCCTCCTCCTGAGCTATTTTCCTCTCTTTCTCTAACTCAAGAGCTCTGCGAGTCTGCTCCTCCAGCTCTGAAACACATGCACATTTGTAAAAAAACATCCTACACACACACACACACACACCAGACATGCCAACATAGCATACTGTAAGCTTAGCAGAGATTGTAAGAGCACCAATATTATACAAAGTATTTAAATGTTCTAAAACTGAATAAAAAAAACACAAATCTCAAGTCGAAAAACATTTGTATTCGGAAAGTTGCCAGACCATCTTGAGCTCTTTTTGTCTGCTCTTCAATCTGTCTCAATCGCTCCATCAGCTCCATGGTCTCACGAGCAATCTTCTCTGTTTCCTTCTCAGCATTTTCTCGCTTTTTTTTCTCACTCTCGAGCAGAGCCCTAACAGGAGAATTGTGCATAAATACACATCTGAAAATCTTTATCTCCTGACAGTTCTTTCTTAAAGCAGCAAGAACACACTGTAAACTGTCAAATAAAAAAATAAAAAGCCTTCATTAGTTTCCTTATTTCTTACCTCTCCTTCTGCCTCTTGTTCTTCTCCTCTCTGGCTTGGGCCTTCATCTGCTGCACCTCGATGGTGTCGGGTTTACGTCTACGCATGTACAGGTCATGATTCCCCATACACAAGGACAGGATGCGTTTGTTGATGCGGAGACGAGGCACGTAAAAAACAAAGTCCTATGGCAAAAAAAAAGAGATAATCAGTGAATGCCCATGGGTTGAATCAGGACAAGTCATTAGCAACTCATAACTGTCTCCCAGTTAAGTCTGGGTTTACAAGATCTGAACAGACAGTTTTGTTTGGTAGAATTTCATGAATTTGTTCTAAGCTCTTGGACGCTTCTCCTTGATTCTGTGCATGCATTCTGAAGCCAAATTGAAGTGTGAGGCTACATTCATGTTTGTGTATGAGATCAAGTAGCAGCTGCTCTCATTACACTACTCGCTGTAATTTATGCTTTTTTCAAAGTTGGTAATTTCTCCAGTAACAACACTACAGGATTCTCTTTCACCGTCTGTTTCAAATTCACAGTGAATACTCATGAGAAGATGGAGGATCGAGGATCTCAAATGTAGCAGTGAGAATTATTTCATCAACTTACACTTACACTTAGACTTTCTTCATTGTCATTCAAACTTGTACTTTACAGTGCAGATCAGAACTAAATTTCAAATTGTGATGTGTGTTATATTGTATTTTACAGTCCAGTGAGGTAGTCCTGTGTCGGGGTTCGAGGGGGAATGGAGGGATTCTTTTTTGTGTTGAAAAGTCTTAAGGCCTGTGGGAAGAAGCTGTTACAGAACCTGGAAGTTCTGCTTAGGAGGCTGAGGAACCTCTTTCCAGAGTCCAGCAGCGAAAACAGTCCTTGGTGGGGGTGGGAGGTGTCTCTGCTGATTTTCTGTTATCTGTTATTATCTGTTATCAAAGTTGCTAATGCTAAAGTGAGTACACACACATTGGACCCAATGAGCAGCTATTTAATCCCATCCACAAACAACCATGAACTGAGTTAAACTTAGATAAGCTCACAGTTACAACATACCATCAAGCCGCACAAAAGGCTTCCAGTTTGTCTAGCTTACGGGTGTGAAGTATAAATAACACATTTTCAATCAACTAAACCCCCTCATAACATTTCTGGCCGCAGTAAAGACAAACAGAGGATTTAATGTAAAGGTATGGTTCTACTCCAATAAATCACTTTGAAAGACCACAAATCTTTTTTTTAAAATTTTTTACATACCGGCGCTTTCCTGTCAATCGGTTTGATCAGGAACTTCTTATCGTTGAAGGAAATATTTCTGATCTCACTCCAGGGGAAGCCAATCTTTGGGGTCATCCTGAAAGTATTGGCATGGTTCACCATTGAGGTCAATAAGAGAGTTACAGTGTCATAGGATGGTAACTTCTACACACACATTTAAAACACAACACATAAAGAGAGCAAAGCATAGAGGTGTTTTATATGCTAATTAAAACCTACAAACAGTGACAATGCTAGCGGGCAGATACTCGTATGTTCACCGTGTTAATGATCATAGTTTAGCTTGTTAGGAAGGTGGCTGAGTGGAATGTAGTTAGATTTAGGTTTGGGGTTTTTAGCCAGAGTCCAAAGTACTGAAAATATTATCCTGATTACAGCATCAAGGGGAGGAAGTGCTTTTGCTTCTTGCTTTAGATGTTGATGTTTATTGGTAATATGTGAAAGCACAACTAGTTCTGAATGAGGGAATACAGGCTCATAACAGAAGGATACTTTTGGAAATGACAGCCCTACACACTCTAGTCCTGCTTGATTTGAGAAGAATATGACATGTGTGATATAATAGTTTCCTGTTGTTAATGTTGCAATAAAAAAATAATAAAGTGTTCAAGTATGTAATGAATCACAACATGTTCCATCTGATGTTCATGATGTTTTACACAATGCCAGAACATGTACCTCCTGACAGAGGGGGTGTTTATCAATAGGCAAGGCAGGCAACTGCTTGGGGCCCCAGGCTACCCTTAGGGCTCACAAACTTTAAACCACAGCAGTGGGCCAAAATGTGCACATTTTGCAATGACAGTAGGAAACCTCCCTAAGGGGGGCCCATCTGACAGCATTCCCTCCTGTTTCATGCATTTTTGCTTTGAAAACCAACGTTTGTCATTGAAAGTAACCGAATGAAATGAAGAAGAATAATTATCCGTCTGGGAGTGAAAAAAAGAGAGAAAGGAAGACAATTAAATGTCAAGAAACTGACAAAATAGTGATGAATGCTTGTTGGAGGGGCCCCCAATGAATGTTTTGCCTAGGGCCCCAACAAAATTTAGAATTGCCACTGCACCCCTTCTTTATCAATACATTGGACACAATTAATCTGAGGGTGTCTGATAGCTAGCTCGAGCTTCATCTGGCTACATCAAAGTAATGTAAAAGCACGGCCATCATAACCGGCCTCCATCCAATACGTAAAAACATGCACATGAGAAGCAAGAAAACATCACTAGTTCACAAGAAATAGTTGTTCTTATTTATTGAGATGAATTTAGATTTTTGGGATGTGTTTAATACTTATGTTTCACAACAATGATGGGATTCAAATTCCATACACGGGGAAAGCAGGAAGAGATTCTGATTTTTTGAACAAGTTAAAAGAAGAAGCTGTGATTTTAAAATAGAATTGATAAGTTCATTTGTAAAATTATTTCAGTCCCAAAATACATGATGACAGGATGGAGAAGTTGTTTTATTTCAATGTTTATAAGTTTGCCACGTGTGTCTCTAACCTGGAAGAAGCGTCAGGATGTTTTGTTTTGTCAGTATTTTCTCTACTTTTGGTCTTCGGTCTCTGTGTATTAATAATGGTGTCTCGTTTTGGGTCGGGCATATTGTTTATGCATGATGCAATAATAAAAATCACCAATCACATATTTCATATGTCAGATGAAACGTCATTGCCAACAGATTGAGATCCACTGAGGACTGGACGTCTGCATAAAGTCCTTTTGGTCCTTGAGTCTGGACCAAAGTAGTCAGTAGCTGATAAACTTCACCAAAGAACCATGCTTCGAAAGAGCCTAAAAGTAACAGCAATAAGCGTACATTGTTTCACAAAGAGTGTGTAGTATATTTTGAAATGGTGACCTACTTGTCCTTTTTGTCATAGATGTTGAGCCCCAGCGCGTCCACTCCCAGCCACAGCTCGGATCCTTTCTTGTTCTTGATGTTGAAGTAGTTGACTCCATACATTTCCAGATCCTGGGCTATCTTCAGATACTCCACCATGGCATCTTCTCTGTGATATAGACCATTTTAATGAACTACAGTACACCTCATATAGCAGAATTAAGTAACGGCTCTCATTGTGCTATAAGATTGTAGTACCTTAGAAGTCCCTTATGCTCCTGATGCCACACCTGGATTCTTTCCTCCCACTGATTCTTATTCAGCTTGTGCTGCTCCAAAACCCTGGTGTTATCAGAGAAGAAGAGCGACGTCAGTTAGAATTCAGCTGACTGAAAGTGGAATTAAGTTAATCTTTGGTTAACACTAGTATTCCTATAGGACTGAGTACCTTTGTGGCAGCAGCTTTTCTCTTGCAAGGTACCCCGGAACGTGATAGTCTTTCCTGTAGTCTCCATGTTTGACCTGAACCGCATACGAGGCCAAGAGCACTGCAGTCTCAGGGGGGCAGTAAATGTCATCGTTTAAGATACTCTCCTTAACCTACGAAACAGAAAAGAAGAGATCTTAAGAATCTGCTTAAACACATTCATTTACAATGTGTTGTTGGTGTACATTTGAATCAAGAAGGATGGAAAGCCTATGTTTGCGCACCTGGATCCACTTTTTCTGTAAATACTCCCTTTTGTAAAAACCCATCAGGGGTTAACAGGATATGTGTGAGTCATAGTGAGACCCACCCCCCTATTAAAGCAGGATCAGCATCTTGTTTTGATTGAGATTCCTTATTCATTAGTTTTGAATTGAATTGAATTGAATTATTGCATCTACAGTGTGCCATGCTCTCAGAAGATATTTTGATATCTACCAAACATGTTTGAACGATTCTTCTTGTTGATTCTAATATTTTTTGGAACACAACAGGTAGTCAAATTATGACCATGCATCCAGATGGCAGATGAAAAAAACATACAAAATTGTTATTAGGGAAGACAATCATTACCATCCGTGTCAGGAATGTTAATTGACAACAAGATTCCCTTTAAGACGCCAGATTTTCCGTTGTAAGACCAACCTGTAGAAAAAAGAGGCGCTGTGTTGCCTCCTGTATCAGCTCATCTGCGACATCCTCGGGGTAAAACTTTGCCCTGAACTTAATCAGCAACGGGTTGTCCCTCTTTACATCTTGAGCTGTCACCTGGGTTGCGCGTCCAATTGAGAGGGACGCAGGAAGGAAGACATAGGTACTAATTAGTCTCAACGGGGTGACACAATATGACCAAAGCCATAACCATAATGACATCTTCCTTTTAATACATCTGTCAGGGGATTCAAAGTGATGCCAAACAGGAATGGAAGTTGATTCACAAACTTTCTTCTCACCCGCTTATTTAGCTTGAGCCATGTGGAGAAGCCTTTGCTATCCTGATACTGGAGGCCAAAGAACCAGGTTTCCCTCAGCCCGATAGTCTTCACTATCTAAACATTAAAAGAATAAAAAATAAAAAACAGGATCACACACGTGTCTGTCCAAGCCCCAGTATGATAATAATGTACAGGGTACCTGGTCAAACAGCTGTTTGCCAGTTGTGCTGGGCAGGATGGCAAACTCCAGCTCAGCGTCCATGGTTGTAACGCGGACATTTATCTGTCAGAGAAAACACTGAGATTTAGGAGGAACATGTCCCTGCTCATCATTCATGTGTGTCACTGGTGAAGCATCAAGAGACATGCAACTGGGTGAGAAAAAAAAGCTCTGAAACAATGCTAAATTTGTTGGTTCTTTGAGAGCAAAATGACCAAAAAGAGTGTTCCTTACATTCTTCTGTTCAACCAGGAGCATCCAATCGCAAGAGGTTGGTGGGGACTACAATCAAAAAATGAAGCCCAAGGTATATTTTAGACTTAATTTATATCATGGGGTTCATTCCACGATGCATAAGTGTTGACGGCTGTGTTAACAATAAGACACCCATATAGTGGTAATTTTGCATACATGTTATCAAACAACACACACACATCCACAGCTGCTGTATAGACTGACTTGTACAGTACAAAAAGAAAAGGCAGAACAGAGGAGAAATGCTTGGCTCCATTCCTCATAAACACTTCTATGAGCAACAAAAAAAAAGACAGACCTTCATTAGAAGACATAATAATAATAGTGGGAGTTATGATAATATTTAGAGTAAAAATAGTTGTGTACTTGAAAGCCTTGCTAAGGAGATTTTTTCAATCAATATTAAAGAAAACAAGATAAGCTTAACTTTGTTACGGTGTTGTTTTTCTAGATCATTTAACAGCACACATTAAATCCAGAAACACAAACACATTAAAACAATCTAGCATATATTTTGAATAACTTCATGTGTTTTACTCCTACAGTCGAGTTTACATCAGAAAGATGCCTACTCTTCCTGTCTCTAAGAAGTATAGAGCCGGTTAACAGAATCTAATCAAACCACTACATTTAAAAGAGAAATACATAAAATACACAGCTCAAATTAAGATATAAGAAAATGAAAGGAGCTACTTACAGTAGACATTTGTATTTTTTTAATCTCTTGTCGTAACACTTCTTCAGAGAGGTGCTTGTAGTAGCCTTTTTGCTGCGGAGTCATATGAAACTGCTTGCAATACCTACAAGGATTATGCTGAATGAGAATGGACCATTGTATTATTCCCAAGTACTGCTCTCTGGTTAATCCAATGGCAGACCGAGGACCAAGAGATTTAAAGAGGCAAGCTTCATCTTCTGTGAACATTTTTTTTTGTTGCTTAAATTGATCAGGTTTTGATTCTTTTACACCCATTCAGGACCAAGACAGGACTTTGTGTCACAGACCTGTTTATGGAGTGACACAGGTCACCATGAACCAAGCAGCACCTAACGTTCTAGTAGCAGTGAAGGAGCAAAGGACATGTGCTAAACTAATAATCCCTTCAGTTAATGTTTTAAGCACATGTTATACAGTCATTTTGGGTTTGGTTTGTTGACCTGTTGCTAACTGCTCAAATAGTAGCCAATGTGTTCCTGGTTGGCTAACAGGGCTGAAACCAGGATTTTAGAGGTACTGAATACTAATGGTCATTATATTTGAGGAGACTGTTATATTTTCACTGTACAACAGTATAGATTAGTTCATTTCACCAACATTTATTTTAGTTTCTAGGCTAATCAGGCAACTTTGCCTTATTCTAAAATGATTAGGCTTAGCCTAACTCTAGGCTACTAGCCTACTACTTTACCTAAGTAGGCTACATACTGGTATATATGTGTCTCTGTTAACTAATGTAGGCTACAATATGTTGTTGTTTTGTCATTACTTGTTGTATTGGTTTTGCTTGCCATCGTGGTTTTATGTAACTTTCTTTACCTGTTTACCACCAACCTGCCAAGGGACCACAGATGGAAATGATGGTTATAATCTGGCATATTCACATGTTCATTAATGTGCACTGTCCCTATTTTAAATAAATAAATACAATATTTTACATTTTAATACCAGTGATTTAACAGATTGTCACTGTGGATATAAACCCTGACATTGACCATTAGCAATGTTTAAAAGTAAACTACACAATATTCAAAGACATAACATTTTATGGTGCTCAGTAGTAGGCTAATGTTGTCAGGGGCCTCAATGTCTGGGCTTGTTTACGAAAATATTCTAGTAACTGCAGCAGGGCCTTTGCTTAAACATGTTTTACATGAGGTATTTCGATGTTAACTGGAGTGACTTATTTCACAATACCCGAGGCTTCGCAGATCAATGTGTCCCATGAAGACCATACGTTTTTGGTTATTTTGTTGATTTTTCCTTTTTCCTTTCACCATTCAGAGGTCTGCAGCGAAGACCACATCGTCCTTTAGTGTAACATCAATGTTTGTGTCGAGTGAAACAATGACTTTTGAATGTAAGGCTGCTTTAAACTTGAATAGGAAGTGGATCTTTTGTTTTGGCACATTGACCACAGGCTGTGTGTGTGTGAGGCAGACGGGTTCACACTGCGCATGCGTGCTTGCTCACATCTGCTATTGTGTTTTTTATCAACAAGGAGACCACCGAGACCACCAGGGCCGTGGACAACTGAGCTGGAACAACTGAGCGAAAACGGATTGCTAAACCAAAACCATGGCGGATGAACAAGAAATAATGTGCAAATTAGAAAATATCTTGGAAATACGGTAAGACTAAGACGTTGTTATGAGATGTTTGACACACGCTGAGTAAACCTTGTCTTAGCTAACGTTAGCTTCGCTTTTGTTACTGAGCTAGCTACAATTAGCCAAATCCTGTCCCTAAAGGTTATGTGGGCTGTTCTGACAGAGAAGGTAAACACTGCAGACGAAACAAGACGTGGATTAAAATGTGCTGACGTAAAGCTACATGTTCACATCGCTCATCTAACAATCATCCAGATGTGCATCAACAAAATGTGATTAGATGTGTGTTCCTTATTAAATCTGTTGGTAAGCTAGCTCCTTTGCTAGTAAGCTTGCCGGTCTGTTATTTAATCGCTAAGGTCTGTTTGCTTTTATGACTTCCCAGCTGTGAGCCTTAATAACAGATGTCATGGATTTATGCATAAATTCACTGTGGTAAATGGTCATTCTGCGAAACACGATTAGTAAAACGCTCATTAAGTTTTCAATTTCAAGTTGAAAGCACTGCACTTTTTTTCTGTCATCTGCACACCATGAAGAGAGATAATCTGACAGCTGGTGTGTGTGTGTGTGTGTCTGTGTGTCTGGGCCACTGGTTGCAGGAACAAGACTGTCCAGATGCAGAAAATCAAATCTCGTCTTAAGGTTGAGTTTGAGGCTCTGGAGTCTGAGGAGAAGCATCTGAAAGAGTACAAACAAGAGATGGATCTGCTTCTACAAGAGAAGATGGCACACGTGGAGGAGCTGCGGCTCATCCATGCTGATATCAATGTGGTGAGTGAGTACTGCATTCAGCGACACGCAGAGGAAGTGTTCCTGAATCTCAGATTAGTAAAATTAGCAAAGTAAGATAGTTAGATAGTTAGTAAGATATGCCGTTTCAGTGCCTGTATAACTTTCAGAATGAAGATGTAATAGCTTGGCACCTTCAAATTGCTTATGTTGAGCTTTTACACCTCTGTATTTATGTTTTGAAACACCCAATCATTTCCCCTCAGATGGAGAGCACCATCAAGCAGTCAGAGAATGACCTGAATAAACTGCTAGAAACAACTCGCCGCCTACATGATGAGTACAAACCTCTGAAGGAGCATGTCGATGCCCTCAGGATGACTCTCGGTCTACACAGACTCCCGAACCTGAACGAAGAAGAGGAGAAGCTGTCCCTGGAGTCAGTACACACACACACACACACACACACGCACACACACACACATATAGTCACACTCACACAAGAATGGGTGCGAGACACTCTGCAAGCAGGCGCGTCTCACCCGTGGGTGTTGTGGGTGTTGCCACAGCCACACTTTCACTGAAACATATTTTCATCCCCCACACTTCTTACCAGTGGAGTCACTGATGAAAACCTATTGTTCAAGTAATACTTATTAAGTGACAATTAAGCCAATCATAGCTGTTTGGTTACAGTTGAGGCACGGTAAAGTTACGTGCATTTAATCCTCCTGTCACTCATCACTGGTTGAGTCAGAGCTCAGAGCTAACAAATGGATACATGCTACATGTAGCATCCTTCTGAAAGAGAGTTAGTCACCCAAACAAATGTTTTTAAGATAAATCCACCTCACAAAACAACGTAAGTGTAATATTTTCTCCTCTTGGTTGTTCTTTTAGCTGTATTTATTTACTCCTTATATACTAACTTTCCGATTTAGCGGAAGTCCCCTTTGCAGTTTTTCAAAATAAAAGCACATTATATTTGAAGACCGGAAATAAAGAGACTGAGGCATAAGGCAATAAGAAAAGCAAAATAAAAGCATCACAAAGAGCAGTTTTGAATCTCGTTTTTAGAGCTTAAGCTAACTGGGTTACTCACAATGGATGTTCATAAAGTTAGTGTCTTTTGTAACTTTGTCTTGTTGTATGATGTGCCAGCTAATATTAGTTATTGAACATTAAATGAAACAGAATGTGTTGATTTGCTAGAGAGTGGTAATATACTAGCATTAGAACACCCGCACTTTTGAAATTGCTGCTCCACCCCTGTCTGCAAGTCTAAAGTTTTTTTTGTTACCCCCCTTTTTTTAATTTTTACAGAACAGGAACAATAAACAATGTCTCTGTATTGAAAGAAATTGATGATAAATTATACAAGACCTTTAAAAAAAATGTACATAGTCTGGTGACAAGTAAAGAAAAACAAACAAAGAAAAAGGTAAGTAAATATTGATAAGTAAAACCAGATAAATGACTTTGAAAAAATAAAATACAATCACAATAGAGAGAATTATATCAGAAAAATAAAATAAAAATAGTTGGTAGGGGGATGATTTAGTCCAGGGGCAAAGTTGGTAAGGACTAAAAATAGTTAATGAAAGGATTCCATTTTCTAGAGAACTTATAAGAACAGCCTTTCACTGTCAAATTATTTTTTTTCTCATTTAAGAGAGAATGTAACGCCTTGAAGCCAGAGAGCTATCGATGGAGGTTTAGGAGATTTCCAGAGGAATAAAATACGATGTCGTGCTAGAAGGGCTAAAGAAGTTTCGTGAAACAGTTTCTAGGGCATAACTATTTTTTAATTGTCATTTGTAAGTAACATACATTTTCTTGTCAACATTTTTTTTTTACACAGAATCATGATCAGAAAATATGGAAGTATGACATTTTATGAAAGATGATTTTTAAAATTCTAAAAGCTGGGGAACACAATCTGCAATACAAAGTTACTGTTTATGTCATTTCTTTACATACTTGAATAGGAGTTGCTGTGAAAAACACAGATTTTCAAACACACATTACAGGGGAAACTGAAAAAGGGAAAAAGTGACAGCAGACTAAATTGTAATATTTAATGGTCACTATCAAGGCCCCTTTGTGCACGAGCATGCCTCAAAGAATGATGGCGTCACCAGGTGACCTTTTCTCTGACAGAATTAGAGAGCAGAATGTAAAGCATGGCGTCCTATATTTGTACAGGAATTAAAATCAAGTATCATCAGGGGAAAAGGAGTTCTCTGCAGAGCTCAAAGTTGTGCCCGCTAGTAAGGACAGGATGAGCAATGTGGATGAGTCTGTTTATTGATAGGCTACAACTTCTGTAATTGAGGATTGACAAATTTAAAAAAAAAGGTCCAAGAGTGGAGCCTCATAGTCTACAACATTTAATCAGTAATATAAAACTGATCCAAGAAAAACAAAGGTTACTGCGTCACAGGGTCCATTTATCCCAATCTCAATTTTTTTTTAAATTAACATTTGAGACTTCAAGCAATAAGTAATCAAATGAACTTTTTATGAAGTCATGTTGACCCCTTGTTGTTTTTTGTTTTTTTACTAAGGGTGCACAGAGGCCATCCTAAAAGAATTAGGGGGGGGGGGGGGTGCCGTGTGCTGTGTGCTTTGTAAGTAATTAAAAGTGTGAAACAAGAATTATGATGTCCACAGATCACAGTAACCGATCAACCTTATTGAAGTTACTGTAGTTTCAGACGGGCGGTGACTACATCCTAGATCAGAGCTCCACTGCTATGACTGAGAAGGTCAGGAGTGTTGGTGTGCCAGTTAGTGAGAACACAAAGACGTGAGAGGAGGAGAGGTTTACCTGCCAGTTTGTCCAGATTTTTGCTATAAAAACAATCATGCATTAATTAGATTTATTCGTTTCGTTTAGAAAAAAACAGATGATGTATTCGTCTTGTTTGTCCTGGGGCAACAGGATCTCTGATTAAGAGGGAAAGTCTTTAAATCCTCTATCAAAGGCAAAGATATTTTCATAAATGGACATGAAATGGTTTGCAAATTAAAACCTTCATGACTTTTACAATGTCAGTATTGAAACCATTAGATGCAGCATCACTTAGGGTGTGAGCGTGAGCATTTGTTATGTTTAATTAACAGCAGACAGCTCAGTACATTTCAGCGGTTAGTTAAAAATGCAGTTTGCAACTTTGCTACTTTGTGCTATAAGAAACATGATTGTGCGCCCTTTGTGATTAGGGAAAGTACAGATTATGGCAGTGTGGCATTTTTATTGGCTGGTTAAGGAGCATGAGCGAAGTCTTTAAAGGTCGCTGTCCACATGACTGACAGTTGGAGGTCATGAGTTGCCGGGTCAACAACTGATTAGTGGTTTTTGGAACAGTAACTCAAAGCAGATTTCTCAGATGTCAAGGACAAATGGCAGTTCCCTGCCTTTCATCGCCATAGTGTCTGATGTTTTTCGGTTTAAATGAGAAGTACAGAAAACATGGAGGGGTGACTCAGACACACTGAGTTGGAGCGAAGCAAAGGTGAGATGGAAACTTGTATTTGAGAAAGGTTCATTTGAGTCTTTGTCTTAAAGGGGATTTATTTACAGTCAGGGGTCGGAGGAACCTGAATGATAGTGATTTCTTTTGCCCCTGAATGCTGATCAGGTTTAAATGTAAAGTGCATGATCTTTGTATTATCTCAATGTATTCTTTTGCAATAAAAAAACAAAAAAACAATTCCCATCGGCTGTATTAGCATGGAAACATAACCTTAAAGCAGATGCCTGGAGACCCTGACAAATTAAATCAACATTACAAAGTTTTCATTACCAGAAAGAAATAAAGAACAAATGTAAAATGGATTTTGTGATTAAAGTGAATGGACCATTTTAAGTCCTTTATAAATGAAGCAGAAAACTCTAAACTGAATTTAAGTCAAAATGATCTTGTTGTTCTTTCTTAATCAATACTTAAGATGAAGTCAGAGTCCCAGCAGCTCATCTCATCTGTCATTCTTTGACATGTTTTGGTGGTAATGTGGGGGGCA